TTAGAAGCTTGACTTTGCTTGACAGCAAGGTTGATATTCTTGTCCGCACACATATCTATGTTCCATGCACTGGTAGCCCTATAGTTTTTAGATTGCCGGCGACAGGGATGTTCTGTATCAATTAACTCACTGTCCCCGCTGTTTAGTTTAAATATTCCTCCAGAAAATCTGTAAATTTGTAAATTTACAAATTTGTAAATTTGTCCAGGTTCTTTTTCTAAAGGTTGCTAAGCCTGTTGTAGGAACCTGGCAGCTTTCATTACATGACATAGAACATAGAGAACATAAAATCATAGAGTTAGAAGGGACCTTGGAGGTCTTCTAGTCCAACCCCGTGTTCGAGCAGGAGACCGGATATCATTTTGGATAAATGGCAGTTCAGTCTCTTACGATTCAATGCAGGGGGCCAAGTTAGAAAGTGAATTCACAAGCAGGTTAAACATGCTGTGTGAGTGGAGTTGATGTCATCACCAAGAATAGCATCTGGATTGTTGCAACGCGCTCTACATGGGGCTGCCCTTGAAGACCACACCTGGAATACCGCATCCAGTTTTGGTCACCACATTATCCCCAAAAAATAAAAATAAAAATTGAGACTTTGGAAAAAGTGCAGAGAAGATTAAAGGGCTGAAGACTAAAACATATGAAAACCGGTTGCAAGAACTAGGTATGGTTAGTCTAGTGAAAAGAAGGACTAGGGGTGACATGATAGCAGTGTTCCAATATTTGAGGGGCTGCCACAAAGAAGAAGGGGTCAAATTATTCTCCAAAGCATCGGAAGGCAAGACAAAGAAAAGAAGAAGGCTAGTCTAAAGAAAAGAAGAAACAGGGGAGACATGATAGCAGTATTCCGGTATTTGAGGGGCTGCCACAAAGAAGAGGGGGTCACGTTATTCATCAAGGCACCAGAGGGCAGGACGAGAAACAACGGTTGGAAACTGACCAAAGAGAGAAGCAACCTGGAACTAAGGAGAAACTTTCTGACAGTGAGGACAATCAACCAGTGGAACAGCTTGCCTCCAGAAATCGCGGACTGGAGATTTTCAAGAAGAGACTAGAGGTTCTCCTGCTTGAGCAGGGGGCTGGACTAGATGACCTCCACGGTCCCTTCCAACTCTGTTATTCTATTCTATTCTATTCTATTCTATTCTATTCTATTCTATTCTATTCCATTTCATTCCATTCCATTCCATTCCATTCTATTCTATTCTATTCTATTCTATTCTATTCTATTCTATTCTATTCTATTCTATTCTATTCTATTCCATTCCATTCCATTCCATTCCATATATTCTATTCTATTCTATTCTATTCTATTCTATTCTATTCTATTCTATTCTATTCTATTCCTCATATTTCTATTCTATTCCATTCCATTCTATTCCATTCCATTCCATTCCATTCCATTCCATTCTATTCTATTCTATTCTATTCTATTCTATTCTATTCTATTCTATTCTATTCTATTCCTCATATTTCTATTCTATTCTATTCTATTCCATTCCATTCCATTCCATTCTATTCTATTCTATATTCCAATGTCTATTCTATTCTATTCTATTCTATTCTATTCTATTCTATTCTATTCTATTCTATTCTATTCTATTCCATTCCATTCCATTCCATTCCATTCTATTCTATTCTATTCTATTCTATTCTATTCTATTCTATTCTATTCTATTCTACTCTACCCTGGGAGATTGATCAGGGCACTGAGTTTTAGCCTTTTATGTTTTTTATCGTTTTCATATTTTTATTGTTGTGAGACACCCAGGGCTGTTTGAAGATGGCTGGTCACGCAGCTCTTCGAAAATGCAATGCAACCGTTTTACAATCCAATAAAAATAAATACATATAATCAATGGTCCAAAGGGAGAAGGTGACAGAGCTTTTGGTCTAGAGACACTTATAAATTCAAATAAAAAAACAAACAAACAAGATTGAATTGGTAGCCAGGTGTTGGTGACTTTCAGTCTTTTATCCAGTCAGGATGGGCTGTTATTATGGTTTTCCCCAAGAGTTCAAAGTTTCCACAATTCTTAGAAGTCAGAAAGTAGACCATAATATATATACTGTATATATATAATGTTATAACATCTTAATTATGCCCAATTCAGGTGATATAGTTCTAGGCGGTTTACACCGTCTATAAAAGTCAAATGCTACAATAATATTTCCTAACCTAGCCCAGAGAGAGACCTTCCATGGTTTTGATGTTGTCACGAATAACAAACAACTTTTTTTGTGGATTAAAGTGCAGGAAAAACTGTTTTCATGACACGGCTATTTAGTGACTCCTGTGTTTATTTGGCTTCGAGTGGGCTGGACTGCTGCTGGATAGGCGATAAGCATCATAATTTGAATTCTGCCACACACTAAATTCATCCCATCCTGAGAACAACAACTGTAAGGAACAATCAGATCTTCTACTGACTTGATGGCTTCAGTGATACTGAAGTAGTAACTGTGAGAGGGATCTCAGAGTCCTAGTGGATAATCCTTTAAATAGGAGACAGCTGTGTGCTGCAGCTGCCAAAAAAGCCAACACAATGCTAGGCTGCATTAACAGAGGGATAGAATCAAGATCACATGAAGTGCTAATACCACTTTACAAGGCCTTGGTAAGACCACACTTGGAATACTGCATCCAGTTTTGGTCACCACGATGTAAAAAAGATGTCGAGACTCTGGAAAGAGTACAGAGAAGAGCAACAAAGATGATTAGGGGACTGGAGGCGAAAACATATAAGGAACGGTTGCTGGAATTGGGCATGTCTAGTTTAATGAAGAGAAGGACGAGGGGGGACATGATAGCAGCCTTCCAATATCTCAGGGGCTTCCACAAAGAAGAGGGAGTCAAGCTGCTCTCCAAAGCGCCTGAAGGCAGGACAAGAAGCAACGGATGGAAACTCATCAAGGAGAGAAGCAACCTAGAACTAAGGAGAAACTTCCTGGCAGTTAGAACAATCAACCAGTGGAACAACCTGCCTCCAGAAGTTGTGAATGCTCCAACACTGGAAGTTTTTAAGAAGAGACTGGACAGCCATTTGTGTGAAATGGTATAGGGTTTCCTGCCTGAGTAGGGGGTTGGACTAGAAGACCTCCAAGGTCCCTTCCAGCACTGTTATTCTGTTATATTCTGTTACAATTGTCCCATATCTGGTCTTTCATGTCTTCTAACAGTGCATTCATCATCATTTAAGCAAGTCAATTCAGCTTGCTGTTGGTCATCCAATGTGGTGTCAAGAGTTGTCAAGTTGTCAAGAGGAGGTTTAGTAGAGTCCTTGTGCTGCAGAAAGCAGCACAGGCCTGATTTTAATCCAAAATTCTAACCCTAATCCAAAACCTAACCCCAACCCCAACCCTAAGCCTATTCATGACTGTCTTTTCATACGTGGCCTAATTAGTTCTCGTCCTTCTGCATAATGCCTAGATATTATATAGAATGCCTAGGGAACGTATACAGCATTTTAAAATAACACAGATTTCAAATTGTTGAAGGAAAAAATCTTCATCAGGGTCCAGTCCAAGCCGGGAATAAACCACATGGTGACTGCTTTGGAAAGAAGGTTGCAGTTTATTGGAGAGGAGAGCCAGACAGAAAGATGGCTCTGGAAGAAAAGAGAGAGAGCACATGTAGGGAGTGGGTTTTTATACCCTCTGGAGCCTTTTGTTTGGAGTTGTTCCTGTGGCATGAACTTGGACCTGAGTCTGAGTGTGCCTTCCTCGTATTCTGATGGTGGTGGGTTAATCCCATTATGTCCCAAAGGTCATATCCTGCTTCCCTGGGGCTGTGGCGGATGACTGTTGGATATTTTTGATGTGAGGGATTGCTGATTCTACGAATCTTTCTTTCTAATCCCAGCCTCCTGACTCCAATCTTTCTGACAAGATTATCACATCTGCATTTCTGCAGACCTGGTTTCTGTCTGGGGCAGAGAGACTTGGGCGTGGGGGGGTTGGTTTCTGCCTTTAAAATCCTTTGGGGAAATATAATATTCTGCCTTTTTAATATTTCCCAAAATATTTCTTTCTCTGGATTCTTCCCACAATATGTTGCCCCCAAATGTCATGCATTCTATAGATTTCCTAGGCATTCTATAATAATAGTAATAATAATAATAAATAATAATAATAATAATAATAATAATAATAATAATAATAATTATTATTATTATTAATAATAATAATAATAATAATAATAATAATAATAATAATAATAAGTTGGAAGGGATCTTGGAGGCCATCTAGTCCAACCCCCTGCTCAGGCAGGAAACCCTATACCATTTCAGACAAATGGCTGTCCAGTCCCTTCTTAAAAACTTCCAATGTTGGAGCATTCACCACTTCTGGAGGCAGGTTGTTCCACTGGTTAATTGTTCTAACTGTCAGGAAGTTTCTCCTTAGTTCTAGGTTGATCAGTTTCCATCCATTGCTTCTGGTCCTGCCTTCAGGCGCTTTGGAGAATAGCTTGACTCCCTCTTCTTTGGGGCAGCCCCTGAGATATTGGAAGACTGCTATCCTGTCCCCCCTCGTCCTTCTCTTCGTTAAACTAGACATACCCAATTCCAGCAACCATTCCTTATATGTTTTAGCCTCCAGTCCCCTAATCATCTTTGTTGCTCTTCTCTGTACTCTTTCTAGAGTCTCAACATCTTTTTTATATCGTGGTGACCAAAACTGGATGCCGTATTCCAAGTGTGGCCTTACCAAGGCATTGTAAAGTGGTACTAACCCTTCAGGTGATCTTGATTCTGTCCCTCCGTTAATGCAGCCTAACACTGTGTTGGCTTTTTTGGCAGCTGCAGCACACGGCTGGCTCATATGTACAATGCCAGCTTTTCACACGATGCCGATAAGAAAGGCATCGCAGCAGCCAGACCATCCAGGTCAACGCACACATGTTATCCACACTTATTTGAAGCTTCTTCCTTTAGAGATCCCCCCTCCCTGCATCAAAGACCGCACAACAAAGGGGTACGCGGTTGGTATCATCTTACCATAGTCACTTGAACGTCAGACCAAGAGTTGTTGGGCAAAAAGGTGGTCGGTTCTATCAGTGTCGTAGGGAAGAAAGGATTATAGTGACCGGTGGCCCCTAGGAACAGGCTCAGGGCCAAATTGAAAGGCAGCGTGAAAACTGGAAGGTCCCATTTGCTGAAGAGCGAGGCTAAAGCGCTGGTAAAGATAGGGCTGAAAAAGAAGAACAGGAACGATTGCAGATCATTGCCGAAAGCATATAGTCATTTTTGCTACAGACCTTACCAACATTGTGGCTTTTTAGAATATAGAACATAGAAGCATAGGCTTGGGAGACCCCAGAAGTCTTCTAGTTCAGAGGTCCCCAACCTTTTGGGCACCAGGGACCGGTTCCGTGGGGAGAGATTTTTCCGCGGACCAGAGGGTGCGTGGTTTTGTGTGCTGCCTGCATCCTGCAGATGGGGATTTGCTTGTTTGTGTGGACCGGTTGCTGGCATGCTGTGGCCCAGTACCGGTCCACAGACCGGGGATTGGAGACCCCTGTTCTAATCCAATTCTTGCTCAAGGCAGGAGACCTCATTTCATCCCAGGCAAATGGTTACCCGGTTTATTTTTGCAAAGCGCCAATGATGGAGCACCTTCAACTTTCAGAGGTAAGTCATTCTGCTGATTACTTGTTCTCGCCATCAACAAATTTGTCCTTACTTCCAGACTGGATCTCTCTCTTTAACAAGCTTCCACCCATTACTTCTTGTCCTGCCCTTTGGTGCTTTAGAGAATAAGTTGACCCCTTTTTCCCTCAAGTATTGGGAGACAGCTGTCATGTCTCCCCAATCCATCTGTTTGATAGCTAGACATACCTACCTGGTGCTCCTCAACTGTTTCATCCTATGATTTAGCCCCCAGACCCCTGATCATCTTTGTTGCTCTCCTCTGCACTGTTTCTAGGGTCTCAACATCTTTTTTACATCGGGGTGACCAAAACTGGATGCAGAATTCCAAGTGTGACCTCAACAAGGCCTTGTAAAGTGGTATTAACCCTTCACGTGATCTCGATTCTATCCCTCTGTTAATGCAGCCTAGCACTGTGTTGGCTTTTTTGGCAGCTGCAAAACGCCTTTAGACACAGCTCCCACAGTAGGCTGGAGCTGATGGAATTAGAAAAACAAAGACTCCTAAAATCTACATTCCCCGCCCAGCTCCAAGGACAGGGCATGACCTCCCAACCACAATGGGGGTCAGGCAACAATAACTGGAGTACAAAAAGGGCACATTCAACCACAGGTCAAAGTACATTTCACAAGGAACAGGCATTCAAACACAAAGCCCCAAACAATGTATAAAACCCCACCTAGTCTCAACTCCATTTTGTCAGCTGCCCCAGAACCTCCTGCTGTTGTTGGTTCTGCTCATCAATAAACAGAAACCTCCTTTCCTAAGCAGCTAGCCTCCATTTCATTTTTCAGCATCTTTCTCCCGGCTTGGAAGCGGACCTGATTTTTCTTCCTACACCTGTATCTATTTTTCCTGCCTAATTAGGGTCTTACTTTTTTCACCACTGAACTGCATCAAACTTCAGAAACTCCAGGAAAAGAAGAATCTTTTTTATCCATGATTCTGGGATAGGAACTGGAAGCCTGAGACTTTCATCGCAAAAAAAGCTTTGAAGGTATGTGAAGATTTCAGTCTCCCCCTTTCGTTTCTTCAGCAAGCAAAAACAAGCAGCCTAGCTGTGAGTGAGCTCTAAATTGATAGAGGTCCCCATCCTTTTGGGCACCAGGGACTGGTTCTGTGGGTAGAGGTTTTTATGCAGACCGGAGGGTGCGTGATTTTGTGTGCTGCCTGCATCCCGCAGATGGGGCTTTGCTTGTTTGTGTGGACCGGTTTTCTCAATATGAAGGAGAAATCAAAACATGTCACTAAATTCCTTGGAATGACAATGGTCTTCCTCGTTGCCACTATAGTTCCCAAAGCAAGCAAGTCCCAAAGCTGTTTTTTTCAAAAGGCAACTGGCCTTTGTTTGTTCTTGCTTGAAGATATTAAAATAGAATAGAGCTGGAAGGGACCTTGGAGGTCTTCTAGTCCAGCCCCCCCTTAAGCAGGAGAACCTATAGCAGGGGTAGGCAACCTTGGCTCTTTTATGCCTCGTGGACTTCAACTCCCAGAATTCCTGAGCCAGCATGGCTCAGCTTGGAAACCTCTCCCTTTCCCCGCAGCATGGCTGGCTCAGGAATTCTGGGAGTTGAAGTCCACGAGTCATAAAAGAGCCAAGGTGGCCTACCCCTGGGCTAGGCCTAGGCCGCTTTATGACTCGTAGACTTCAACTCCCAGAATTCCTGAGCCAGCCTGGCTCAGCTTGGAAAACTCTCCCTTTCCCCTCAGCATGGCTGGCTCAGGAATTCTGGGAGTTGAAGTCCACACGTCATCAAGGGGGCCGTAGTTCCCCCATGCTGGCTCAGGAATTCTGGGAGTTGAAGTCCACCAGTCATAAAAGAGCCAAGGTGGCCTACCCCTGACCTATACCATCTCAGATAAGCAACTGTCTATCTAGCCTCTTCTTAAAAACCTCCCGTGATGGAGCGCCGACGATTTCTGGTGGGAAGCTGTTCCACTGGTTGATTGTCCTCACTGTTAGGAAAATTCTAGGTTGCTTCTCTCTTTGATCACTTTCCAGCCACTGTTTCTCGTCCTTCCCTCTGGTGCTCTGGTGAATAAAGTGACCCCCTCTTCTATGTGGCAACCCCTCAAATACTTCTTCAGTCAGAAATGAAGAAGCTTCTTGAAGGAAAAGCAAAATGTCTTCAAGCAAGAGCAAAGAAAGTCCAGTTGCCATTTGGAAAAGCACTTTTGGGACATCCGCGATCTGGTTGACTGAAAATCTCCA